TTGGGCAAGTTATTTAACTCAATATGCCTGAGTTTCTGCATCCGGAAATGAGGATCATGGTGCTTCTCAGAGGGTGGTTAGGAGGGCTGCATGAGCTAATGTGTATAACGTGCCCAGGATAGGCTCTGACATGGTCAGTGTTACCTGCCTCTGCGGCTGCCGTCTCTGGACCTGAGAGTTGGCGTACCTAATGGTCATGTCTCACCTGTAGGTCAAACCATTGTGCCACTGTTACCCCAGCTGTGGGCCGACTGGAGTTGTCTATGGTGAAACCAACTCCGGGCCTGACACCCAGGTTTGACTCAAGGTGAGTATTGACAGCAGCACTTGGATTTTTGTGGGAGCCCAACATTTGATGTTTGCCAGAAAAGAAGGGTATTTAAGAAAATACTGGGAAGCCCTAACAGAGGAGGGTAACCGCCTGGGTTTCCTAATGTTTGCCTCTCCCCTGAGTTAGGTTTGCGTGTTTTTGGTGACAAAATGATTCTTTACCTGTCCCTGATGACTAGGAGGCCTCTAGTGACTGTTTTGGTCTTTTCCGATTCTGATCAAGTTTATTTTAAATTGGTAGGTACTCTCCCACACTCTTGGTAGGAGTGAAAATGGACATCACCTTTTGGGAGACCAGTATAAACAAGGATGTTCTTATAGCATAAATTAATCCCTTCCATAGTGCTGGTCAACTAGATAGGACATGGGGTATAGCCATTAAATAAGTACATCCGCATGTGCTGATGGGGAAGAGCTTCATGATCACAAGCATCTCCAAAGCAGGTGGCAGGGCAGCGTGTCCTAGATGACCCCATTTGATAGAAAGTTTCTGGAAGGACGCATAAGGAACTGAGAGTGGTTATCTGGAGTGGGGAGAGTGAGGAAGACTTACTACTTCTAATTCTCTTCCTTAACTGCTTATTGTTTTTTTTTTACATGAGTATATAGCAAAAGACATTTAGGGAAAAATAGATGGCAGCATTTTAAAGGTCTTGAAAAAGTCACTTTGGGAATTAATATAATGATGTAATCTCTGAATCATCCGACTCTGACCCTGGAAAAGTCCTCGTGATGGAAGTGCTTAGCCACTCTTGGAAGTATATTAACCACAGTTTATTTCTGACTGTGGATGAATGGATGGATGGATGGATGGAGACTGGTATCCATATGGAGCTTTGGACCTAAAATTTACATGGATAAGAATTAACTTTCGCTAGATGTATGTTTGATAATTACAACCTCCTTCCTCCAGCTGTGTTTAGTCAATACTGCTTTTTAACCCTAAATTTAGAATGCGCCTTCTTAGAAATGTGTGATTTGAAAACTGCAGCTTGAGGCCAGATGGGGTCAAGGTGTCATTCAGTCTGCCACGCCATCTTTACAGAGACTTTCCCACTTTATAGGGTCTTCAAGACCCCAGGCCTGCGCACTCCAGCAGCCAGAGAGCGGATTTACAATGTCTCTGTAAATGGCAGTCCTCTTGCTGACAGCAAAGAGATATTCCTCACTGTGCCAGTGGGAGGCGGAGAGGTAAGTGTTCCAGAGGGCCATCAGGCCATGGCGTGCTGCTTACTCAGCCTTTCTTTCTCTTGTCCATCACTCACTTCTCTCCCAAAACCCAAAGTCCCTTTGGTTGCATGGCTTCTGATATCCACATTTCTGTAGGACTCAGAACCATTTCCTCTCCTAGGTTAGAGCTCCAGACTGGGAAGATCCTTGCCCAGCTCTGGGTTTCATTTGTTCATCCACTAACATTTGCCCATCTGTCTTGTAGCAGGTTCAAGATGTAGAAGACATTCCTGCCCTTGAGAAGCAGTTCAGTAGTCAAGCTAGGCTCCCAATTAACTGTAACATGTGATGTGTGCAGTAAGGGAGATATTAAAGGGTGTGCAGAGGAGGGCACTATCGGGGTGCGTGTGTGCTTAGTCTGGAAAGGGGAGCTCGAGCTGTGTCTTCCACTTTGTGTAGCTTTGAGGGGTCTGAAGCAGGCAGAGCAAGTTGCTGACCTCGGCTCCTGGGACGGAGGGGATGGTTTATCTCAGATGAGGTCTGCAGGGCGTTTCTAAGCTAACGTGCACCCCTTATACTCAGCTGATCCAGCTATCGGCCCAGTGATAAACACCGACGGCACTGTCTTTTTCGGATTAACTCCCCTCCTGCCTGCCTTGCCATCCCCCTCCACAAGTGCAGGACATCAAGGGACCCCGGAGCACACTGGGCTGCTGGGTGGAGGTTCCTGCCCTGAGGGACGTGCCACGTTAACCCTCTCCCCTCCACACAGAGCATGCGGTTATTGGCCAGTGACTTGCAGAGGATTGACATCGCACAGCTGGATCCAGAGGCCCTGGGAAACATTAAGAAGCTCTCTGTAAGTCTCGGGTTCCTCTCCACACACAGGAGGCCTCCAGTAGCCCTCTGGGTTTAGCCGTACTTAGGATCGCCTTTTGGGTCTGGCCTGCTGCTTTACACTTACAACTGTGTGGCCTCTTTCCCCCAAGGGATTTTGACTGTTATCCTGCTTACTGAGCAGCAATTCTGTCCCTAAATTGATGCTGAGTTTTGGTCCAACCAGAGTCCCTGCCACAGAGGTTCCACAAGAGAATCAAATCCTGCCTCATTCAGGCAGTTGGTGCCTGTATGTTAGGGCACAATCGACCCCCCGGGGACTGAAACTTCCTCACAATAGTTCGGGAACAGGGTGAGGAGCTTGCTACCAGGAATCCCACAGAATCAAAGAAAGCACTGAACAGGCAGGCCCTCTGAGTGGTGGGACCACCAGTGCCAGGAGTTGATGGGGCTCCGCTCTGGTGCACCAGCTCCTTTAGCAACTCTGTCTTTGGGGCCCGTGCCCTCACCTCTCTTGCACCTCGTCCTTCCCCCACTCAGTGGGTAACCTTCTCCACGAGGCTCTTCGTTCTGTTCTCCCTTACCTTGAGTCAATATGTGGCTCTGGGTAGCCACACTCCCAGCTCTGACTCTATTGCTCCATTGCCCAACGCGGACAGTCCAGTTTCAGTCTTATTTAAATTCTCAAGAGGAAGAATTGAATTAGCTCAGCTTTGGTCAGACAGGCCTCCCCGGTCCCTTCCGCTTTGATTTTGGCTGGTAGATGGGAACACCTAGTGCAAACATGACTGCTGTAGGTCCCCCCTCCTGGGGGGAGGTCTGTGAAGGGTACATCCAAGTAAGGGGACGGGCGGAGCTACTTTCCCAAACATGTTGTACAGAACAGAGGCCGGTGCTGAGATCAGGCACATACCCAGCCCCCCGGATCTGGTGACATCCATCATCTAGCTGGACCTACAGCATTGCTGTTCCCAAATTATACCTTCACTGTCTCATTTGAGATGGTGTTTTGCTCCTTTGTTCAGATGAGAAATGGAGATTCAGAAAGGTTAGTTCGGTCTGCGTTGGTATAGAGGAGAGCATAGCTGCCTTCCAGAAAGGTTAGTTTGTTCATGTTACCAATAGAGGATGGAGGGCTGAGATTCACTCAGACCAGCCCGGCCCCAAAGCCAGTGCTACCTGAGTAGACTATGTGCTAAGTGGGCAAGGCTCCCAGCTTCCTCCTCTCTAAAGGGCCTCTCTCCTTGTCCTTTCAGAGCCGTCTTGCTCAAATCTGCAGCAGCATACGGACTCACAAATGAGGCTGCTATTCCAAGAAGCCAGATTTAACAGGATGGACCTTCAGTGGGCACTTCTGGGACCCTGAAGATACCTCTTCCCTTGGGCTTATTGTCTGTCTGAATGTGAAGTTCCAGAGCAGGGAGAAGCGTTCCTCTTGGAGAATTCAGGAAACGTTGCTATTGGCACCTCCCACCCCAGATGACAGACACTGCCTCTGTGTCCATACAGTCCAAACCTCCTGCCGTTCTCCCAGCTGAATTCTCCTTCCTGCTCTCAGCTGCCGCCTCTGCCTGCCATAGCTCCACGTCCTCTCCGCCCTGCCCTAACTCCAGCCGCGGCTGCACAGGGGAGCCTCCTGTTCTCGGGAAGACTGCCAACTCGCCCTCACCGGGGAGCCCGCTCCAGCTGGCGTTCCCGCCCTGTGCGTGCTTGAGGCTGGGAGCTAGGCTCAGAGAAGTGAGCTCCGTGAGAGGGCGGCTCCAGGAGCTGGGAGGGCCTGTGCAGATGGGGCCAGGACCTGTCACAGCAGTGACCACAGGAGGAAACACCTCCCCTCCTGCGCACATCCCCTCCCTCCTGTGGTGGGTACTGACAGGGCTCTGCAATCTTAACACCTGCCATGCCCAGTAGTTTGGTTTCAAGCTGACTTGTAGACTAGTGTTTTGTATTATCCCTATTTACCAAAGACCAAAACTTGGTTTGTGGGCAGTTTCCATGTCTTACTCCTCTACCTCTCTGGTTAGTCCAGTTAGTGGGAATCTGGATAAGGGAGCTGTAGGGTTTAGGTTCATCGCGGGATTTTACATGACTGGCCGCAGAGGGACTCTAAGCTGTCCGTGGCCCTGTGGTCCCCACCAGGCCTGTAGCCTTTGCAGAGAGCACTTCTGTCTTCTGAGGTTCATGGGGGAGTGGGCGTAGCTTGCCTGGTGGCCTCATTCCTCACGTTTGGCCTCTGCCCTGGCGTGGGCTGTCACATGGGCACTGAGATCCCTGCGCTCCAGCCAGCACCTGTGCCCCAAAGAATCGTTAGATGTGGTTTGAGAACGTGGGAGCTGAGAGTCCCCACCCCAAGCCCGAGAGCACAGTGTTCTGTGTATGGCTCTTTGTTGTACTCTATTATTTTCCTACATGACCATTCTAGTCCAGTCCTGTTCAAGATGTGTTCTTTTCAAGTTGTTTTATTCTCCCTTTCCTGAGACTTTTGTACATACTGTTTTCCTGAGTCATGGTATCTGTAAGCTGATTTATTCTAATCAGAGCTACTGAAAGGTACCTGTTTTCAATAAATTGTGGGTTTGTTTTTAATTGATATTCCGCCCTGCCTGTCATCTGCAAGCTGTGCTACCTGGACCAGAGACAGTTTTGGAGCTGAAGCTACTGGAGTGAGGGTCTGCAAGCAGCTACTTTCCTCAGAAGATGCGAAAACCTTTACTTCAGGCAGAACCTCTCTGATACCTGAAGAGGGGGCCCTCTCCCCAAGATCCAGGTCACGGGTAACCTAGCCCAAGAAGCTTTTCCCCAACATCTTCCTTCCATGAGCTAGAAATTTACATCATGGGGGCACAGTATCTAGGGTACCTATAGTTTACTTGTGTAGCAAGTCTCGTTGGCCAGGGACAAAGCAGAGGCCCAGGTGATTCAGTGATCGTGCTTCTCACTTCCCAAGCTCCGGGCTCTGGCAGATCTGCTTTCCTGGAATTCGCTCTTCGCCGAAATGATCGACGTGGGGCTCACGGCGGAAGAGAAGACAGACTGGGGTCATGGTTCAGCAGGTCATCGGTGTTGACAGTTTAGGGAGAAGGCCCTTCAGTCAGTGACAGCATTTAGAGTAGAGGTTACTCATTTCAAGCGATTAAGTCACCAAAGCTGAGGCTTCTACCTTTTCCTTCATTGTCTGGTACACTGTTGTTAAGTAGAGCCTGACGTCAAGAAAACAGTTAGGATCCAACATTCTTTACTCAAAGCCACCCTCACCCTAGTTTGGCTCCAACTGCACTACTGCCTGGACCCAGTTGCAGGGAATGTGCAGTATGTAACAGGTCCTTAATAAATACCAGTCACGTGACAAAGATGGAGCAGTCCTTCACTCCATACAAGAGCTGGCTTGGAGACGGTAATGAGCTCCCCATCCCAGGATTTAAGGCATGGGCTGAACTATCACAGGGCTGGCATGCGGCAAAGAAAATTCAAACCTTACCGCCAGCCCACAGACCAAAAAGGGCCGCAAACGCTTTTCACTGTTTGGATTTTGTCTTTTCAAATGAATTGCCAACAATTTAAAAATCATGAGATTTCACAAAAATAGTCACTAGCCACCAACAAATATCTAGCAACACGGGCCACAGTCAAGAGGAGCTGTGTAGCACTTTTCCTTGGCCCTCAGAGGCCTCTTCCCATTCCAAGGAATTCTTACCTCATCCCTGTGGGCAGGTTACTTTGTAGCCTCTGCTGTGTGTATAAGGCAAATAAAAGCAGAGCTGCTCTGAGCTCAGGGGAGGATGGGGCCCTCCCCGCGCCAGGGGCGTTTCCAATGAACAGTAGTTTCAATCTTTGCCCTACAGGCCCCCCGATCGTTCCAAAAGCCCTACTTGGGACGTCCTGTTGAAAGAAGTCCAAATGTGTTGCCTTATGAACAGTTAGGTTCAATTAGTCATATGAAGAGCTAGTTCTCGTGGAGGCTGTGCTAGGACATCACCTAAGCATCGTTTATTCACAGCGTCAGACACACATTGCAGCCCGGTCCAAAACCGAGCTCGTCATTTCCCACATCGCTGCTTAACCTGCTCCCCCCGCCCCTTACGTGGTCCATCTCCGGCAATGGCACCGCCACGGAGTGTTGCCCCCTCGGGGAAGCCACCCAGTGCTCGCCCCTAGGGTAAACCCTGATCACACCGTCCTGTCATCTATTTCCTAAATGTGGCTCTTGCCCAGAGATCTCAGACACACACTTTGGAGACCCCTGTGGTGGGGCGGGGGGCGCGAAACCCTCCCACACAAGTTACTTAACAGTTAAGCAACTGTCACTGACAGAGGCACCATACCACAGACAAGTTTTTATTACTTTGTCCTGCATATAGAACCCAAGAACTATAAAAACACCTCCAGAATTAGTCAAAGGAACCACTCCCCCCCCACCACCAACCAGCCCCTTCCCTCCCTGGATGGGATCAGATATGGGTGCTGGGGGGTTGCAGGCCACCTCTCTATCCAGTGAATAAGGTCCATATAAAAATAGATCTGTAGAGGGCTCCCAGGGAGCCATCAGCCTGCATCTTGCCGGCACCTGTGCAGGGCTGAGGCCTGGGACCCATCAGGATGCTGGGACCTCACTCCTCAGTGGAAGGGAGGTCTACCCTGGACACCGAAGTCCTGCCAACACAGCCAGGGGACTCTGCAGAACAGCGCGGGGAGGAGGAGGGGACTCTGACCTTCAGGGCATGACTGATGAGGCTGGAGATGGGAATGAGGCTCCCTCCACAGGATGCTGGTATGTCCTTTCCAGACTTCCCACGGGGCAGGGCCTGGAGGGCACCGGCAAGGGACCCTCCAGCTCTGTCAAAGGTAGAAGAAATATCTCGGCCTCCCCTAGCACCCCCCAGGACACTGAGCTGGGGCAGGTGCTCAGGAGATGGACAGCGGGGGTGGGGGGACGCCTGCCCTGCTGGCAGAATGAGGCCAAAGGCACTGCTGAGAGGCACCGTCCCCCACCACGGAGCACTCCCCAGAGATGTGCTGCATCTCCCACCCTCCAGGCTCCTTCTCATGCTGGCCCCTCTGCTTGGATTCCTCTTGTCCTAGGCCCTCCGTCTTGGCCTGCGGAAAACTCCACCAACCCTAAGGAAAGAGTCCTCCCCCCGCTCCTCCAAGGCCCTGTTCAATGGATGCATCAGACTCTCAGTCAAGGAACCTTTCCAGACGCCCCTCCATATACACACATCACGAGTGTCCGGCCCACAGGCCCTACGGTCTCCCGTGGGGGACGTGTAGTAGTTCCTGGAGCCTGAGTTCACCTCCCCGCCTCGTCTGGACCCTCCAAGGGCCGGCTGTGTCTCCTTCACCCCTTCCTGTAGCCCTTGCCTCCTTCCCACCCCATCCCACCCGACCCACACGCAGCCAAACCACAGCAGGCATAGGTCAGGGGTGACCCTATCCAGACCCAGTTGCCTTCATTCTGTGCCATGAAAGCCCTGGCCTCACGATCACCCCCGCCTCTGGGAAGCCTTCCTGGATAAGGAACTCTGGACTCAGCTCAGGGCAACTACTTCTGCCAAAGCCCCGCAGAAGAGGGGCCAGAGGGAGGAGGTACTCCACGGGAGGCTGGGTGCAGGGGATGGAGCCTGCGGGAGGGGGTCACCTCAGAGTACCCCTGGGCTGCCTCAGGAAAGAGTGTTGGTGACACAGGGCAGGACCCACGACTCTCTCCAGAGCCAACCTCGGCTCTGGATCGGGAGTTGGGCACGTGGGTTCAACCCCAGCTCTGGCCCTGACTCCTCACTAGGTCTTGTTTTCCCCACCTGTACGGTAAGGGTTGGACCGGCCTGTTAGAGAGAGAAGCTCCGTCTCTGAGAGTCATGTCTTCATCATCCCCCAAGTCTGGGGAGCAAAGCTCTTGGGGCCCCGGGGAGAAAGTTGCTCTCCTCATGCTCTTCCCAGATGTCCTGGCCGGTGAGTTTATAAAAGGAAAGCAAAGGGGGTGGGGGGCACCTAGTGGGGCCTCAGGGGAACACCGGGACCCTCACCCTCACCCTGAATGGTCAGCTTAAGGGTGGGGGAAGCAGAAATGAGCTCCTAAGTCCGGGGCCCTCGGGGTCCAGCCCCTGATCTCAGCACCACCTTTGCCTGCCTGGGCCTCGGGACCAGTGTCCAGACAGGGCCCAGCTGGAATACGGGGAACTGAGGCCCCATGGCCCATCAGGATTGGCGGCCAGGCAGCTGTGGTCACTGACAGGAGCCCATCCATCAGGGACCTGTGCTGCCTGCTGGCCAATGGTCTGTGGGAAAGTGGGGCACCCTTTGGAGTAGGCCCCAGACCTCAGTGGGTATGGAAGACAGAAGGGCATGAATCGGGCCATTTAAAGCTATGTCTTCCTCCCTGCCCCTGCCCACCTTAGTCTCTGAGACCCTGCATTTCCTCCCACTGTTGTCTCAGGGATCCTCCCCAGGTTTTGAACCTTTATTCAAGGGGGACTGAGTCAGCCAAGGTGCTCAGACTGGGGGAAATGGGGGGAGAAGGCAGGGAAATGGAGGAAACCGGGGCTCCACACAAGCTCTGGGAGCTCACTTCCGCACGGTGGAGCGCAGCTGGCGGGGGTCCTGGGCAAGGCTGGGGGCTGGAGCCCCCTGGGGTCCTGGCCTGGAAAAGTGGGGCCGCTCACACCTGCACCCCCCGGCCCTGCAGCTGGAGCACCCGGGCCCGCAGGGCACTGATCCCACTGAGGAGGTCCTCCCGGTGTTCCACCGATGAGATGCCCAGGCTCACCAGGTCCCTGCGAAGAAGAAGGGCGGGTCAGACCCAGCTGCTCTTCCCCACCTTCTGCTGTCCCTCCCATCCCCTACCCAGCCCGGGAACCGGAATCAGGACCGGCTGGGCCTCCCATGCTGGCAGGGGCAGGGCCCCCGGGCCCTTTAGACTCACTGGGCAGTCATGGCGGCCACAGCCTCTAGGCTCCCATAGCCGGCGGCAGCGAAGCTGTCCTTGTAGCGGCCCAGGTCCAGGGCCTCCAGCCACGTGCCCACGGAGCCAAAGGAGGGGAAGGTGGAGAAGGCACGGTCCGCCAGGGGCGTGGGAGGCCTGGGGAGCAGAAGAGCAGTGGTCAGTCGACAGCAGGGACCTGGGGCCCAGACCCGGTCACTCTCCTGAGGAGAGGTCGTCTGAGAACGGCCAGGAGGAGGGGAAGATGGCCGAGCCTCCGACAGGCCTGGCTCACACAGGGTTCTAGGTAACCTCAGAGCAGGCGCGGGTTTACGATGCTCTGGCTGGCAGAGAGTGAGCTGCATAGGAGCCAGGTAAAGGGAGTGTCTGCGACAGTCTAGGGTAGGATGTCCCTAGGAGAACTTGGGAAGTGACTGGTATTGGGGACAACTAACACTAATTGCACTTATTTATTGGAACTACAGATATGTTAGGACTATTACCACATTTATGTATGTGGTCGCTGTACCTGGGATACGTGGGGCAAAACCCAGGACAAGCAGAAGTGACTAAGATGAAAAGTTATACATGCCTAAGGCAGGTGGGAGTATTAGATCTATCTGGGGTACCTGAGTGAGTCGTCGTACCTGGACTGGTGGGGGAGGACAGGTGGGGCAGCTGTACTTGTACATGGTGGCGGGGGGGGCGTTCGTGGACAGGTGAGAGTTCTGCTACATCTGGTATGGTTGGAGATACCTGGGGATGTACCTGGGACACGCGAGGTGACAGCTGTACCTGGCACAGGTAGAGTCGGCACACGTCGGGGGCTCTGGATCCTGCACCATCTTGCTCAGGAGGCCATGGATCTGGCAGAACCTGGGCCGCTCACCTGGGTCCTTCTGCCAGCAGTCAAGCATCAGTCGGTGCAGGGGGGAGGGGCAGTGCCTGGGGGGTGGCAGCCGGAAGCCATCCTCCACGGCTTTGATCACCTAGGCCATGGGGGTGGCGGGCAGACAGGAGGTTTTAGGTCCCCCAATACACACACTCACCCCATCCCAAGGAAGGCTCAAGTGGTGACCAGGCAGGACTGGAAGCAAGTAGACAGTGAAGAGGGGCCTGGGGCTAACAGGTCAAGGGTTAATGGGCAGAGGTCAGGGAGCAACAAGATCAGAAGGCAAGGAGCAGAAGCCACGGGCGTCACTCACGTCTTGGCCAGACATGTCCCAGTAGGGCCGCTCCCCAAAGGCCATCACCTCCCACATGACGACACCGAAGCTCCAAACATCACTGGCGGAGCTGAAGTGGCCAAACTGAAGCGTCTCGGGGGCGGCCCACAGTGCCGGGCTCCGGCCGCTCTGCGGGCAGGCAGGCAGGTCAGGGGCAGGAGGGGACCAGGTCACACAGCCAGGGTTCCCCACCCGCAGAGCCACAGATCCAGCCCCCCCTGCCATCTCCCCGGCTGCTCATCTAGGCGAGGCCCACACTGGCAATGGACAACTGGATGGAGGGGCAGGAGTGACCCCGACACAGCCAGGAAGGGGGATGTGGGGAGACGGGGACTCCAGGGCAGCTTGCCGAGGGAAGGGCTCCTCACCATGGTGGTGTAGACAGCCTCTGCTCGGTCCCGAGGTCCCCGCCCAAAGCCGGAGATCTTGCAGATGAGGTCGCTGCTGACCAGCACCCGGCGGGCCGCCAGGCCCCGGTGGACGTAGCCCATTTCCGACAGATACTTCATGGCCGACGCCAGGCCGGGCAGCATCCCCATCAGCTGCACAGCCACCAGCTGGCCCTCGTGCCGCTGTGAGAGGAGGAGAGCGAGGCCAGGCTGCACTCTCGCTTCCCCTGTTGCTGGGTGACCCCGGGGAAGTCAACTGGCCCTCTCTGGGCTTCAGTTTGCCATGTGACCTGCCAGGTCAGCCTGGCCAGTGGTCATCTTTATAGGGAATGAGGCCAAGCCCAAGTCCCACCAAAGGGAAAAGTGAGGGACCAAGAATATCATGGTCATCAGTTCCCCGCAGGGCCCAGGCCACTCACCCTGAGGAAGCCGTCCAGGGCCCCATGGCTCATGTACTCAGTAACGATCATCAAGGTGCTTCCTGTACCCACGGAGGGGAACACACGCTAAAGTGCCTGCTGCCCTCTGTGAGCACATGTGCTCCCCCACCTGGGCCCCAGACCCCTCCAAGAAGGCCAGAACCAAGGCCAAGCTCCCTGAGTCTTGCCACCCTCCTGCCCAGCCCAGGACCCTCTGTGCTGAAGAACAAAAGAGGTGTCATCTGAGGGGAACAAAGGCCAAGGTGAGGATCTGCACCAAGTTAGCTGAGGGCGATCACTCTGAAGGTCCAAGTGAGCCAACCCCACCGAGTGTCACCACACGCCCAAAGATCACGCAGGGTCCGAGAGGCCACCCAGAGTCAGTGAAGGAGGGCTGAGCCCTTCTCTCCATGGTGGGCAGCGTCAGGGCTCCCTCTCGTGACTGAGCAGAGGGCCTGGGGGCACGGCACACCTCCACCTCCCACCCCATCATCTCCTCCCACACTGGTGGAGCATGGGCCCTACCTCGGGTGACAACGCCCTCCAGCCGCACCACATGGCTGTGGTCGAACTGGCCCAAGGTGAGGGCCTCGGCCAGGAAGCTGAGCCTCTGCAAGTCGGAGCAGCCCTCCCTCAGCGTGTGCACGGCCACGGGGAGCTCCTGGCGGCCCGGAAGCTGCAGGCAGCCGAAGCACAGCTCCCCAAACCGCCCTGGGGGGAAAAGGCACCTCAGACACCCCCCGGAGGCCGCTCCCTCGGCCAACCTGGGCAGGGTGAGCCGAGGAGAAGGCCGCTTCTGGATCATGGGACTCGGGTCTCCTGATGTCAAATCCTGGTAAACTGAGTACCAGCCGTGTGACATGGGCTTCTGCTCTTTCCCTCTTTTGGCCTCAGTTTTCTCCTCTGTGAAATGGGGAGTCCTCCCTGCCTGCTTCGGCGGGAAATTCCAAAGCCTCAAAGAGAGGACGCTGCACATGCCAGCACACCAGAGGCGCAGGGTGACACAGGAAGGGTAACGATGACACCTATTCTGCCACGCCGCCCCTTTCTGGTCTCTACCCAGCGAGTCTGCTGACAGTGCCAGGGAAGAGTGTCAGGCTCCTGGTGAAAGCACTCCCTTAGTGCAGGGGCTGAGGGTTTGCAGACAGGAAAAAAGGAAGCGAGGGGACTGACCGTTAGAGAGCACGCACCCACTGTGAACCCGGCCCTGGGCTGAGTGCTGGAAAGCCCCCACATCAGCTCTGTCTGAGGCAAATATCATGGCCATTTAACAGAGGAGAAACTGAGGCTCAAAGCGGAAAAGGGACGTACCCCTGGTCACACAGCTGGTCAGTGGTAGAGCCAGGACTAGAACTCAGGTATGCCTGGTCCCCAAGCTTGCAAAGGCCCCTCCCCATCGTCTCTTGAAGGCCTGGGACCAAACTTCTGCCAGGGGCAGTCTGCAGAGCCAGCTCTGAAAGGGCCCGAATGGAGAGAATTCTGACCTTGGGGACAGGCAAAGGGTAGGAAGGCAGGGCCACAGACTCCTCTGCCACCTCCTTCCCTGGATCCTGGTGGACGGAGGTCCAGCTTGATGTGGAGGGGGCGCTTCCTGGACAGGGTGGGGACTGGGTAGAGGCGGGGCCTCCAGAAATGGGGGCGGGACTTGGGGTGGAGGCGGGCTTACAGGAGAGAGACGGGTGGGCTGAAGGAGGGGCTTCTAGAGGGAGGGGCGGAGGCGGGGCTTACAGGATAGAGGCGGGGTAGGGTGGAGGACAAGCTTCTAGAGAGGGCGGGGGTGCGGAGGCTCAGGGTGAGGACTGGGTAGAGGCCGGGCCTCCAGAAATGGGGGCGGGACTTGGGGTGGAGGCAGGCTTACAGGATAGAGACGAGGTGGGATGGAGGAGGGGCTTCTAGAGACGGCTGGGAGGGGGCGGAGGCGGGGCTTCCCAACGGACAAGGCTTCCGGGGTGCCTAGCTTGCCTGTTCCAAGGCTCCTCTCCAGCGTGACGCTTTTCGCATCCAGCTCCTTGGCAAACAGATGAACAGCCAGCAGCGGGTCCCCACAGCTCTGGGGATCCACGAATGTGCGGCGAGTTGGGACTTTGACTGGGAACGCAGGGAAAGAGAGGGGGGTGGGATAAGGGGCCTCCACGACTGGAGGAGTGGGGGTTATGCAATGGCAGCAAGGAAGAGGATTGAGGGGTAAGGTAGGGGGTGCCCGCCCCGCCCCGCCCCGCGTCAGGCCCAGACAACTCACAGTGGAAATACAGCTCCTCCTCATCATGGGCATCCCGACCTCCTTTGCCATAGCTGCAGGTCCTGGGGTAGGGGGTTGGGGGTCGGGGGGTCCGTAGTCATTCTTTGAGCCAGGCTGTCCCAGCCCTTCCCATCTCACCAGCACCCAGGGCGGCACCTCTCTGTTCCTCCAAAAGGATAAGGTCTGTGCCCCAGGGGAGGGGCCTTCTTGTCCTGCTGGTCTGAAAGCTTCTCCCCACATCACACACACAATCCTAGCCCCAGACCTAACCCCTCACCCGCCTCCGCATTCCTAGTTATTTTCACTTTGAGACAGTGTATTCTTGCAACTCCAGAGGCACCCAAATCCATGCCCTGACTTCAAGCCCAAGCTGCCCCCCTGCCTACAGCTGAACAAAACAGGCAGAGCTTGTGTCCAGTCAAGAAAACAAACACTGAGAAGGAACCACAAGCCCACTCACAGGTCCAAGCAAAGAAGGGTGGTGCGCCGTGGGGAGCACCTCACAGATGGATCTGACGTGGCCGGGGCCGTCAAGGATGGCTTCCTGAGACAGAGGCAGCCATGGACCAAAGGACGGCATCATGATCAACAGAGCCACAGGCTGGCATCTGGGGCCCCCTGGGGCAGGGCCTTGCAGGCCCAGATAAAGACTTTGGTTCTATTCTGGGGGCAGAGGAGAGGCCCCAGAACCCCCTGGGGGGTTTTGAGCCAAGGTTCAATTTGCATTTTAGGAAGATCACCCCAGCTGCTGCTGTGTCCCTGCGGGAGATGGCAGTGGCTCGGGCTATGTGGTGACCATGGACTCGGAGGAAAGTAAGAGGACTCAAGTCACATTTAGGTGACAGAGCCACAGGGCTCGGAGATAGCTGGAAGGCAGAAAGGGAGAGGGGGAAGATTGGAACAACTCAGGTTCCAGCTTGCCCAGCAGGGTGTGGGGTGTACCAGTTACTGAGATCGGGAGTTCTCATTTAGACATTTGAGTTTGCAGGGCCTCTGGTAAAAGCAGGGACAATCAATGAGCAGGGAGTTCGCCATGTGTGTGTCTGGAGTTTGGCAGAGGTGTGCTCTGGAGATACAAGTTCTGGAGCTGGGGGTATTGCCCAGGGAGAGGAGGGAGCCTGAGAAGTGGGACAGGGAACAAGTCTGAGGACCCCCACCATTTTAAAATTGGGTAGAGGAGAAGGATGCCATGGAGGAGATCATGAAAGAACCACCAGAGAAACTGGAGGGAAACAGAAGGGAAATCGGGGGCGGGGGTGGGGGGAGGTGGCGGGCGATATCACAGGAAGCAAGGAAAGAAAAAGTGGAGCAGAGGACTGAGGTCACGTGAAGGCTCTAGGAGGAGGGGTTAGGGGAGACTGGAGAGAGATGACCACGTTTTGATACCAGTGGGAAAGAGGAGGCTGTCCTGTAGTCTGGAGTGGTCATGATGGCGGTCGCCAGCATGGGCTCTGGAATCTGACGACCGGCTCCCTAGGTGGTCCACTCTCTGTGGGACCAGGTGGCTGGGATTTCTCTTTAATAAAATCAGGATAAAGACATCCATGCCTGATCACACTGGTGCCAAGAGCTTACTAAGCACTAAATAAATGTTAGCTATCGTGGGGAAGAAGTGGACGTTATCAATAGTAATGGGTTCCTGAGATGGTAGGAAGTATGGTCACAGGTAGAAGATCCTGGCCGGGAGAATGGCACCTCCTCTAGAGCAAAAGGAGGGGGAGGATGGATGCAGAGATAGGCAGGTGTGTAGACTTGGGGGCAAGAAGTTGAGGGGTTAAAGTTGCTGTTAAAGGGCGGGTGCAGCAGACATGGCTGAGGGAGCGAGCTGCAAGGACGGGGAGTCTGCAGGGCAAAAGCAGAACTGGTGTCAGTGTTTGGGGAGATGGCCAGGTCCACGTCAGGAGATGGGAGAGGGCAGCTGAGATGGAACAGGAGAGAAGATCCGCGGAAACAAGGGAGTGAAAGAACCCAGAGGCCGAGGGGTGGGGCAGGTCCTCCAATGGCTACTGAAGTCATCCAGCACGGGAACAGGACTTCCATGAATGAGGGGAACACCTGGGAGAGGTAACGAGGGATGAAGGGGGCAAGGCTGAGTGGCTGGAGGAGTGGTGGCAGAGAAAATGAGAAGCTCCCACTGGGTGACGCAAGATGGACTGGGGAGGGAAAGCGGAGGTAAGGAGCCCGCTGCACAGAGCAGATACCGCAGAGACTGCGAGAGGAGGAGACGGCTGAGGGAGGTGTTCCCATCTGCAAAGCTGGGACACACGTGCTGGAGATGAGTGCCTCTCTGCACATCAGCGCTAGACCAGGCAGGTTCTCATTTTGGTGCCGTTTGATTCTGAGCACATTTTGAAATCCACCCCTGGCTTACTCTGCCTGCTCTGGTGCATCTGTCTCCGAGGAGCTGCTGGGCAGCTGCCCCTGTTCTGTAGGGTCTGCCTGAAGAGGCCCTCCTTGCTCACCTCTCTCCCCTTTCCTCCTTCTGCCTCCCAGAGACCGTGAGCTCACAGCCAGGACAAGATGCTCTCAGCTCCTGTCCATTCCCGCTTTTCCAACAGGTCTCATATAAGGACTTTTAAGCTCTGTGAGAAAGGAGATTCCACTCCTGTCCTGCCTTCCTGACTCACCTGGCCCGGGCAGAGCTGGCTCCCAGACTCACTCCTCCTCAGTCACTTTCAGCACCTTATTCAAGACCAAGCAAACAGTCCCCTCCGAGCCAAGTGAAAGCTCACGGTCCCTCCAGCCCGCAGGCGGTTCCAGGATGCTGATGTGTGGCTCCCGGGCCAGCCCATTCCTCTCCTGTGCTCCCCCCACTCCAGCCTGTCACATGCAGACTTTCCAGCCCCTCCAGTCTGCTGACCTCAGCCCCAGCCTGGAACCCACCCGGGTGCCTCTGTATGTGGCAGACTGTGGCCCTGGGGAGAAGGGCGATATATATGCCATGAGATTTCTGCTGCATGCCAAAGGGCCGGACCCAAGCTCCACATCTTTGCCCCTCCTCCCATCCCCTTCCTCTGCCCACTCTGCCAGCTTCTTCTGCTGGGGGTTGGGGGTTTCTGGTTTATGAGTTCCCCTCCCTGTTCTCCCTGCACGCAGGCGCGGGCGCGCGCACACACGCACACACAATTTCTGCCTTTCTTCCTTTTGCCTGTGTTGAAGGGCCTCCAGATCCCTTTCGGGCAGGGGCTGGGGGCCTCTGAGTGCCTCAGGAGGACCCTAATCACACCGGGGCAGCTGGAGCTTGATTCCATCCTCAGCGATGCCTTCTGACATTTAATGAGTTAAGGAGCTAAATCCCTTCATCCCAGAGCGGCTGAGCTAGCTGCCGTGCTGGCTGCCACGCTGCCGACTGCAGGAGCAGGGGGTCAGGACGGTGGGAGGAAGGCCAGGACCACACCAGCCACGCCTGTATCTACACAGGGGTGTGCTCGCCCGTGCACATCCGCACAGGTGCAAATGCAGATACAGACATGAGTGCCCGTGAGCACACGTGAATGTGCGCAGGGACACGGCCCACCAGGCATCATCCAGGCTGGGACCAGCCACCTACCTCCTCCAAATGGCCAGCACGCTCATCACAGAGCCCAGGACGAGGAGGGCTGAGATGGTCACAATGGTGATGACGACTGCGGGGCTCTGGTCCTTGGACCCCGAGGCAGCTGGGAGGGAAACCACGAGGTTGAGAGAGGCAGAGGACCAGGCTCCCGGGGAAGCTCCAGGACAGACTCCTGTCCTCACCCCACAGCAGGATTCCCACAGCACCTCCGCACTCGGCCCGGCCTCCCGGCGGCAAGGGACCAAGGCAGCCCCACCAGCCACAGTGGCACGTGGAGCTTCCTCCTTTCCCAGGGCAAGGCACTTTCACTGCAGCCCAGCTCTGAGAGAGAGGAGCAGGCATCCAGATAGGCAGGCCTCCCTTTTTGCCTTTCTGATGCACAAGGAAGGTAGCTCTGCAGGGGGATGGCGTCTCATCCAAGCTCCCCAGCCCCCATCCGGAAGTGTCACCAGCAATAATGATGAGTTAACATTTAATGCACACTTGCTCCATTCAAGACTAAGTGGTCCAAGCCAGTAAGGTGTTACTGTTTCCATTTTATAGCTGAGGAAACTGACACTGAGAAAAGTTGTGTAATTTGCCCAAGGTCACACAGCTAACAAACAGTGAACCTAAGATTTGAACCTGATTCCTAAAGCCTCTGCTTTGAACTATTTCCCCAGGGGAAGAGCCAGGCTCTCAGCCCCATCCATCCATCCATCCAACATGTGCGCCAGGCTGGCACTAGTTCTGGGGAGATAGCAATGGATGAGCCAAAATCCCAGCTCTGGAGGGGTGTACCGACCAGTGCGGGAGACAGAAATGAAAAATCTTAACTGTAGAATGAAAAAAAACAGAGACATGAATGAGCAGAGCTGAGCAGAGGCATGATAATTTCTTCCTAAAGCCAGCGAGGAAGGTTTGTAGAAAAGGCGTCATCTGCACTGGACCTGGAAGATTGAAAGGGTTGTTGATGATGCTTAGATGCACCTGCTGGGTCTGGAAAACGGCAAGTCATCCCATGTGGCTGGAAAACAGACTGCCTGGAGGCAGAGATGCAGATGCAAGATATGAAGGTATGAAGCTGGAGGGCAGGAGGGTGAAGGGAGCTGGGGGAGGAGACAGAACCGGAAGGTCCTTGAATGCTAGGCCAGTATGAGCCAGGATATCCCGAGGGTAACAGGGAGCTCAAGCGATAGACAGAGTTCCTGCCCACAGGGAGAGGAGTGAAGGGATCTGCTGGCTCGGGAGCGGGGAGAGAGGGGAGGTGTTTGAGAGACGTGACAAGAACGGGGAAAATGCTATGCAGCCCTGAAGACTAAACTGAGATTAGAAAAATACAACTCTGCAGGCAGCCTTGGCGAGGGACAGAGGAGGACAGCCAAGCCTGGGGACTAGCGGGGCAGGTGCAGCACGATGTCCGGGGAATGAGGGCCGGCAGAGGTGGGGCATGTTTCTGCCGGGAGAATCTGTGCTCACTGGGGAGAGATGATTGTGGGGACAGGAGGGGCTGAGAGCCTGGGAGATGAGGTCAGATCCCAAGAGCTGCTATTAGGATGTCACAGAGCAAGTGAGGAAGAGGGATAGAAGAGGAAGGAAGAGTTAGAGGCCAACAAGGTCAGGGTCAAAGAGCAGATTTCAGAGCCCACATTTTCAGAGATGGGGAACTGGGTCCAGGGTCCAGCTGGTGGCAGCAGGCAGTGGAGTTGCCAAGGACTGTTTGAAATGAAGTATCCATGTGGACGCGGAAACTGAGGATGGAGCTAAAAGTGGTTGTGGTCCGCAGCCTCTGAGATGGCCCTCCTGGGTTCGCCACCTCCTGGTGTTCCCTCCCCTTGAGTGTGGGCGGAACATAGTCACTTGCTTCTCATGAACAGAATACAACAAAAGTGATGGGATGTCACCTCCATGATTAGGTTACAAGAGACTGGCTTCTGTCTCGGGTGCCTTCTTGCGCTCTCTCTCTCTCTCTCTCTCTCTCTCTCTCTCAGTCTCTGGAAGAATCTAGTTGCTGGGTTATAAATAGCCCTTGGAGAAGCCCAGGAGGCATATGCCTGCCTCCCACAGACAGCCAGCAAGAGCCCAAGCAGGGGGGCAGACACCCGCTCCCCACTCCGCCCCAGGTAAGCCTGGAGATGACCGCAGCCCCAGAGGACACCTTGCTTGCATCCTTTGAGAGACCTGAGACAGGTGGCGCCCAGCTAAGCCTTGCCCATATTCCTGACCCAAGGAAACCATGAGATAATAAACATCTGTTGTTTTTGGCCGCTGAGTTTTGGGGGTAATTTGCTACACAGCAACGGGTAACTAATACAGCGGTGAAGCATGGTCCTTCCTCGTGATCCTGATTTGGGGTCACAGCTCACTGGAAAAAGTACTCTGCAGATTGGGGAACCACTCCCCACAGCCAGGGCCACAGCAAAGGAGGCTGCCCGGAAGCTGAGCAGCGTATCTACCAACTAAGAAGCACCAAATTAAGGGAAGGCATCAGCCCTCTTCAGCTACCGGCTCCCAGCTCCCGCCCTCTGCCACACCCACTCCAGCCACACCCACTCCAGCCAAACCCGCGAGCCTTTGTTCTGATGGCTTCCTCTACCCAAAACGCCTTCCCTGCCCACCTCCACACACTCAGACGTTCCCCAGCCTTCAAGACACGGCTCTAATCTCTTGCCAGCACCTGGCCGAGGTCTGGCAGAGACACAGGCGTTCGAGCAAGAAGTGCTGTTTTCCTTTCCCAGAACTCAAACTCCCTCCACATTTTATCTCCACCTCCCTTTGGGCTCAGAACTCTTCCTATCTTGGATTAGACTCATGTAGCAGGTTGGAAAGAATTATTATCTAGACAGCTGGTGCCAGGATGCCTCTTAGGGGGAACTGCCTTTGTCCGGGAAAATACTTGCGTGAGCTGCTCGGGTAGATAGAGGTGAGATCCTGAGGGCTGGGTTAGCAGCAGGAGAACAACAAAAGAGAGCGCTAAATGCTCTGCACGCATCAGGAGGGGGGACTGGGGGTGGGTGGGGAGAAGAGGAACCAGGGGAGGGAAGCCAAGGGAAGAGGGGGTAGCGCCATACCATGCCGAAGAGCTGGAGCTGCGTTAGTTTGGGGCATATCTGATGTTCAGCTTCTGTTTTGATAAGAGCGTTATTGAGAAATTATTCTCATACCGTGCAATTCACCCATTGAAAGCGTACAATTCTCCTGGTGTTTTTCTGTTTGTTTTCGGCCGCACTACGCAGCTCATGAGGTCTTAGTTCCCTGACCAGAGACTGAACCCAGGCCCTGGCAATGAACGTGCCGAATCCTAACCACTTCTCCCGGTGTTTCGTTTTGTTTACCGCTGCAGGTGCAACTCCCTTCGTGTGCCCCAACCCTCAGGGAAGGTTGGATGCTAGGATGGTAGATGTCAGGGCCTGGCAGTCCAGAGGGTGAGCTGGGCCTCACCCCTCTGCTTCACACTGTAAGGCCTAGTGGGGAGAGGGACGGGGGCCCACGTTTGAGTCTGTATCATGGCAGCGACAAAGCATCAGGATGGGAACAAGAACTTAGCAGTCAATGGCAAGAAGTGACCAGGAGACAAAAATTTCTCCCAAGAAAAGAGGAGAATCTTGGAGAGGGCACAGGATGTTTCCACGAGACGTGGGACGTTCTGGGAGGCAGGGAGACACCAGCTGAGACCTGGGTTATAGTTGCTCATGGGCCCCTCCCCTGTGAGTTCCTCCAGGACAGGTACCCAATGTAAGCCACTAGTTGTTGGATTCCAAATTCATGCTTTTTTTTTTTTTTTTGGCCACACTGAGCAGCACGTGGGATCTTAGTTCTCCCACCAGTTCCACCGTGCGCCCTGCAGTAGAATCGCAAAGTCTTAACCACTGAACCGCCAGGGAAGTCCAACCAAATTCATCCATTAATTAGGCTGTGACTGAACTGTTCTGCAGGTTCCCTTAATTGCACAGATAACGCCCCCCCCCCCCGCCCCGCCCCAATTTGCCTCCCTGCTCCAGCCCCAGGCTGGGTTTTCTCTTCACTTGACACATCACTTACCCTCCCCCGGGGTCTGCACTTCAATGCTGGGGTTGAAGCTCTGGGTCTCCCAGGAGGGCCCCGGGGAAGCCGCCCGGATCTGAAAGACGTAGCGGGTAGCCGGCTTGAGGTTGGTGACGGTGACCGCAGGCTCCCCTGTCTTCACCGTGGAGTAAGTCTGCTCACTCTGACCCTGGGGAGGGACCGAGAAGTGAGGCCCAGACCCAGGGCTGGCCCCACGCTCCTGGGAGAATGTCGGGGGGAAGAAGTAGGGAGGAACCTGGGCTGGTGGAATAACTCCACTTGTCTTGGGGAGATCCCACAGCTTTCTTCCATAGGATCACCAGCCCCTTTCTCCACCACGAGCTCCCACCCATACTCGGTGGTACTTGTAGCTGAGAACAGCCCCACCTCCAAGTAAGAGAAACTTTAGAGAAGATGCTGGCCTTCAAAGGGATGCTAGAATGAAGGGCATCAGGGCCTGGCAGTCCAGAGGGTGAGCTGCACCTGACCCCTCAGAGGAAAGAAGAAGACAAGGGCCTGACACCTGCTCGGCCCTTGTCGGATCACACAGCTTTTCCTTCCCCTTGGCATCGGACTTTCACAATGTCTTGCAAGGCATGGATTCACAGATAAGGAATCGGGCTCAGAGGGGTAGAGAGGCTCTCCCACGGCCCCCAGCAACGGTCCACTCACTGCCCGCTGCTGGGCTAGACCCCATAGGAGCCAACTTCCTACAGTCCTCACAGCAGCATTCCTATCTCCTTTAACAGGTGAGGCTCACATCAAAGAGGGGTTGGGGTGACACCTTCTCGATTCCTTCAGGTCCCGTGCTCTGTGCTCTACATGGTCCTGCCCCCAACACATCTGATAATGGTACCTGCTGGACATGCCACCATTATTTTGTCTCTGCCCACACCCCCTTATTAGAGCCCCTGCCACACTCACAGCCCCCAGAGGTGCACCTCCCCTATACCTGTGGCCCCAGCTCTAGGGCCATGGTATTCAGGAATCAGGGAAGACTCTGACCCAAGCTGGGCCAATCAGAATCTCCCTTCCGGGCATCTGAACAAACCACCGAAAGACAGTGCAATGACTGCATGACCTATGAGACGGGACAGGCTCGGGGTGGGGAGGGGGAAAGGGGTAAGGCTGCCAGCCTCGCAGCTGCCAGGTGCTAGGAGCAAGGCCCCTGCAGAGGAGGTGGAGCTGGTGCACAGAGAGAAGTCGGCGTGAGGAGCTCGTGACACCAGCCACACTTCTGGTCATCGGGCTCCGTGAGACGTTCCTGAAGGCTTTCAAACACAGCCCCTTTGGTACTGGCTCCTCTTCTCAAGGGTTTTTGTTCCCAGCAACTTCAAACTCCCTAAGGGCCTGGAAGCATCCACCCAGCTCAGTGCTGGGACTGTATCTATGCTGTGATCCCCAAGTGTCAGTTCAACGAGCCCTTTCTAAGCAACTGCTGCGTGCCTCGCTCCTTCCCAGTGACCTTCGCTGAGGTCTCCTAGACATCAGGGATCCCCAGAGCTCTGCCCTGACTTCTCTTCTCATTCATGCCCCGCTCCCTTGGTCATCCCTTCTGCTCCCTTGGCTTCAGCTACTATCTCTATGCTGAAAGCCCCCAACTCTCTTTCTCTCTCTGTCTTTCTCTGTCTGTCTCTGTCTCTCTCTCTCAACTCACAGCTCTCCAGACTTCTCATATTCAAAAACTTTGACTGATTCAGCAAAGAACTCCCTGGAGTCACTGAGGAGGGAGTGAAGTCCTGACACATGTAGTGCTAAGTTGAAAGCGAGGTTTCGCAATTGGCACCAAGGTGAGAAACAGTTTAACGGCAGATTACATGTCAAATTCAAACAGTTTGAATTTAAATTCATAAGTTTATTAACTTATGCGGAAAAGAGACAGTGGATCCGGATGTAACTCCACTCGTCAAACCATGGTTGAGCTGCAACCACAGATGACAACAGATACAAGAGGTCAGCAAAAATCAGCAAGAAGTATCCTATGAGAACCAATTGGCGATATGGAGTTCACAATAAGGATCGCTGTATATTTTCTATTCTTATTTGTAAATGATGGGTTACACATTCCTCACATCAGCAAAATTATAATAATATTGCACACGTTCATTGTTCTGCAGAGCTGGCTGCTAAACGTTTACCAACACGGGGGTCCCATGACCTGGTGTGCTCCCACCGTGGTACCTTTCTGTAAAATTTGAAACAATGTATTTCTGCACTCTTTTTCTTAAAAGGATTGCAAATTGTAGGTACATGATTCCACCACACAAAATCTGGATCAGCCCCCAGAGAAGGCTTCTTGTCAACTGTACACACTAGGCAGAAGTGGTGAAAATGGACTTGATGACCAGTGATGAATGGAGACGTGGGGAAAGAGGGAGAGCAGTGGGGTCCATGGTGAGGAGAGGACAGGAAGAAACCCCGGCTGGGGAGGCCCCTGAGGGGGCCTGTGGAAATGTTTTGAAAGAAAGTAAGAAGGACTTCTGCTGGGAGGTGCTTATGAAGAGAAGGAAGCCAGCGGGTGAGGGGGGCAGATCACAGCCAGGAATGCAGCCCCAGGTCCCTCCCAGACCCCGACTCACCTTCTCATAGTATCTGATCTCATACTCCGTGCCGTTGGCCCCAGGGGCTCCAGCGGGGATGGGCTCCCGCCATGACAGGGACACACTCTGGGGCTCCACTCGGTCCCTGCGGATCTCATCCTCCTCCCATGGCGCTGAAAGTAAGGAATGCAAGGTTCTGGACCCAGATCTGACTGTGGGGCAGGGACAGGGGCTGGAAAGTCTGGACAAGAGGGGATTGGGGCGGGGTACTGGAGCCACAGAAGCATGACCAAAGGGTCTGTGGGGGACAGGATGCTCCTGAGGCACGGGGCTTGAGGGATAGCGACTTTGCGGGACTAGAGGGAAGGGAGGCCCCTCTCACCCCACAGCTCTCTGCTTCCCTGGCTCCTAGGGGGAAAGCATCAGGTCACGTGCTGCTTGCCCACACCCTATACTCCAGCTTCCCTCATGGTGGCTGGTTCTAATCCCCCAGGCTCTTTCTACACTCTCTGCAGTTTGGAGACATTAGGGAGCACAGAAGGCAGGAAGACAAGCTACTCAACTACTCTAATAGTCTGGGCAAGAGGTAATATACTCAACAAACTAGGGATAGAAGGAAACTACCTCAACATAATAAAGGCCATATATGAAAAGCCCACAGCTAACGTCATACTCAATGGTGAAAAACTGAAAGTTTTCCCTTGAAGATCAGGAACAAGACAAGGATGCCCACTCTTGCCACTTCTATTCAACACAGTACTGGGAGGCCTAGACAGATCAATTAGGCAAGAAAAAGAAATAAAAGGCATCCAGATTGGAAAGGAGGAAGTAAAATGATCTCTCTCCACAGATGACATAATCTTATATGTAGAAAACCCCACAGATTCCACAGAAAACACTGTTAGAACAAATAAACAAATATAGCAAAGTTGCTGGATACAAAATCAAATCACAAAATCACTTGCATTTCTACACACTAACAATGAACAATATGAAACAGAAATTAAGTAAACAATCCCACTTACCATAGCATCAAAAAAGATAAAATATTTAGGAATAAACTTAACCAGAAAAGCAAAAGACTTGCACACTGAAAACTACAAGACACTGCTGAAAGAAACTGAAGAAGACACAAATAAACAGAAAGACATCCATATTTATTGGGACTTCCCTGGTGGTCCAGTGGTTAAGAATCTTCCTTGCAATGCAGGGGACGTGGGTTCGATCCCTGTTCGGAGAAATAAGATCACAAATGCCGCGGGGCAACTAAACCTGCGCGCCGCAACCACTGAGCCCACATGCCACAACTACAGAGCCCACATGCTCTGGAGCCCACGTGCCACAACTACAGGGTCTGCACGTCACAGCTAGAGAGAAGTCCATGTGCCACAACTAGAGAGAAGCCCGCAGCACACCGCAATGAAAAGCCCGTGTACTGCAACAGAAGTTCCCACGTGCCACAGCTAAGACCCAACACAGCCATAAATAAATAAATAAATAAAATCTGTGTTTAAAAAAAAAAGACATCCATATTTATGGAGTGTAGATTTAATATTGTCAAAATGTCCATACTACCGAAAGTGACCTAAAAAAATTCAGTGCAATTCCTATCAAAATCCCAATAGCATATTTTGCAAAAATAGAAAAAAATTCTAAAATCCACATGGAATCTCAAAGGACCATGAACAGTCAAAATGATCTTGAGAAAGAAAAGCAAACCTGGAAGCCTCACACTTTTTTACTTCAAAATGTTACAAACCTACAGTAAACAAAACAGTATGGTACTTGGCATAAAAACAGAACTATAGACCAATGGAACAGAACAGACAGCCCAAAAGTAAACCCTCACATATATGGTCAAATGCTCCTCTACAAGGATGTCAGGGCCACACAACGGGAAAAGGAAAGTATCTTCAACAAATGATGCTGGAGAATTTGATTTTTGTTTTGTTTTGTTTTTTGGCCACGCTGTGCAGCATGTGGATCTTAGTTCCCCAACCAGGGATTGAACCCACGCCCCCTGCATTGGAAGCGCAGAGTCTTAACCACTGGACCACGAGGGAAGTCCCCAGTGCTGGGGAATTTGAATATCCACATGCAAAAGAATGAATTTGGGCCCTTACCTTCACCACATACAAAAATTAACTCAAAATGAATTACAGGCATAAATGTAAGACCTGAAACTATAAAACTCCTAGAAGAAAATATAGAGGAAAAGCTTCATGACATTGGATTTGGCAATGATTTCTTGAATATGACACCAAAACACAGGCAACAAAAGCGAAAATAGACAAATGGCACTACATCAAACTAAAAACATCTGTACAGTAAAGGAAACAATCAACAGAGTGAAAAAGCAACCTATGGAATGGGGGAATATATTTACTAACCACATATCTGATAAAGGGTTAATATCCAGGATATTAAAAGAACTCCTACAACTCAACAATAACAACAAAAACCCACAAATAACCCAATGGGCAGAGGACTTGAATAAACATTTCTCCAAAGAAGATGTGCAAATGGGCAATAAGCACATGAAAAGATACTCAATATCACTAATCATCAGGGAAATGGAAGTCAAAACCACAATGAGATATCACCTCATACCTGTTAGGATCAAAAACAAACAAACAACAACAGCAAACAAAACAAAACAAACAAACAGAAAATAACAAGTGTTGACGAGGCTATGGAGAAATTGGAACCCTGTGCACTGTTGCTGGGAATGTAAATTGGTACAGCCACTATGGAAAACAGTATGGAGGTTCCTTAAAAAAATAAAAATAGGATGCAACTAGAGATTATCATACTAAGTGAAGTCAGAAAGAGAAAGACAAATACCATATGATATCACTTAATATGTGGAATCTAAAATATAACACAAATGAACCTATCTATGAAAAATAAACAGAATCAAAGACATAGAGAACAGACTGGTGGTTGCCAAGGGGGAGGGGTGAAGTGGGAGGTTGGGTTTAGCAGATGTAAGCTTTTATACATAGAATGGATAAAAAACAAGGTCCTACTGAATAGCACAGAGAACTATATTCAGTATCCTATGATAAACTATAATGGAAAAAATATTTAAAAATGTATATATGCATATAACTGAATCACTTTGTACAGCAGAAATTAACACAACATTGTAAATCAACTATACTTCAATTAAAAAATCGATAAAAAATACAATAAAATAAAAATAGAACTACCATGTGCTGTAGCAACCTCTCTTCTGAGTATATAGCCCAAGGAAATGAAATCACAATTTTGAAGAAATTTCTGCACTTCCATGTTCACTGCAGCATTATTCACAATAGCCAAGATATGGAAACAACATAAGTGTCTGTTGACAGATGAACGGATAAAGACAAGAAAATTATATACATATATATTTAATGATATGTTATTCAGTGATTAAAAAAAAGATATCCTGCCACTAGCAAAACCACAGATGAACCTTGAAGGCATTATACTAAGTGAAATAAGACAAAGAGAGACAAATACTGCATGATCTCACTTATATGTAGAATCTAAAACTGCCGAACTCGGGACTTCCCTGGTGGCGCAGTGGTTAAGAATCCACCTGTCAATGCAGGGGACGCGGGTTCGAGCCCTGGTCTGGGAAGATCCCACATGCCACGGAGCAACTAAGCCCGTGAGCCACAACTACTGAGCCTGCGCTCTAGAGCCCGCGAGCCACAACTACTGAAGCCCACGTGCCACAACTACTGAAGCCTGCGCACCTAGAGACCGTGCTCCACAACAAGAGAAGCCACCGCAATCAGAAGCCCGCGTACCACAACGAAGAGTAGCCCCCACTCGCCACAACTAGAGAAAGCCCGTGCGCAGCAAAGAAGACCCAATGCAGCCATAAATAAATATATAATTAAAAAAAAATAAAAATGCCAAACTCATAGAAACAGAGAGTAGATTGGTTTTTGACAAGAGCTAGGGGGTGGGGGAAATGGGGAGATGTTGGTCAAAGGTACAAACTTCCAATAATAAGATGAATTACATCTGGGGATCTAATGTATGGCATGGTGTAGTTGAAAACTGCTAAGAGAGATCTTGAATGTTTTCACTAGACTCATAAAACATACTTATGTGAGGTGATGGATGTGTTAACTAACCTTCCCATGGCAATCATTTCACAATACACACATACACCAAACCATCACATTGTACACCTTAGACTTACATAAAGGTGTAATTCAATTATATCTCAATAAAGCTGGGGGAAAAAATAATGTGATGTAGACATACAATGGAATACTATTCAGCCTAAAAAATGAAATCCCATCCCATGCAACAACATGGATGAACTTTGAGGACATTATGCTGAGTGAAATAAGCCAGTAGCGAAAAGACAGATTCTGCATGACTCCACTTCTATGAAGTATCTAAAGTAATCGAACTCTTAGAAAGTAGAATGGTGGTTGCCAGGGTCTGGGGGAAGGCGCAAGCGGAGCTGTTGTTCAAAGGGTATAGAGTTTGCATTTTGCAAGATGAAAAAGTTCTAGAGGTCTGTTGTACAATAATTGCATATAGTCAACACTACTGTACTGTACACTTAAAAATGGTTAATTTGGTAAATTATATGTTTTTTACCACAATTTAAAAAAGTATTGATGCCCAGGTCATAAACCCAAAGCAATTAAATCATAATTTCTGTGGGTTGGGACTCAGGCATTAGCATCTTTTTTAAAAGCTTCTCGATGATTCCAGTGTACAGACAGATTTGAGAACCTAGTCTAGATAATGTTGGGGGGGACAGACAGTAGCAAACAAAAAGAAACAAAAGTGTAATCATGCCAGAATAAGGTACCACCAGGTTACTGGGAGGAAAGATCATGACTTCACTTTAAGTGTGTTGAGCAGAGGGGTTCCCAAGAGAAGATGCCAGAAAGGCAGCTGGATAAGGGGTTCCAAGGCTCCCAAAAGGTACCTGGGAGGGTGATAGAGATCCGAGAGCCATCAGGAGGTGATTCGATGAAACTGCCCAGGGCAACGCACAGAGAGAGAGAAGGCAAAGCTTTCAGGAAACAAGCCCAAGAAAAGGCAGGCAAAGGAAGAGGAGCTTAGAAAGGAGAAGCCACAGAGGTAGGAGGAAAAAGCCAGGAGCAAAGGAGGCTACAGAAGCCCAGGGAAGAGGACATTTAGGAAGGTTCCT